CATCATTTCATATCATTGAACATCATCCCACATCTGTGACATATTTGCATGCTTATTATCATTCCCTTGTACATCATATCAAGAGAGCTCATTTACATTCTCTCTCTCTCTCTCTCTCTCTCTCTCTCTCTCTCTCTCTCTCTCTCAATTATATAAAGCAAACCTATCAACTTACCTTCTACTAAAGTATCATATATAATTTACTCCACTATTGATCAATTAATTACTTTTTATTTGATAAAAACAGAACATAATAATATGAGCGATTCACGTGTCCAAAGGTAATTTTTATCTTGATATAAAACAATGAAAACTAAATATTATTGTGTCCAATTCTCATAATCTTCATGATTAATGCTCACTTAAGAGTAAAAGATGTGTTTAATCATGAATATATCATCATTCACACATCTTATATCATAAAATCATTCAAGATTTACATATAAAATCCCAAACTAAGTTATGTAAAAAGTTATTGGATAGCATGTAACATGGAAAAAAATAAATAAAATTTCTAAAAATATAAATTATGAGGACTTTTACATATAAAAAAAAAACATCATTAATATCTTATACATTATCATTTCATATCATGACATAAATATTAGAATATAATTATAATTCATAGACTAGGGTAAAAGTATTCTACCTCAAAATTATTAAATAATCTACAATGTCTTCCATGAAACAAGCCTAAGATCAAACATTTCTCTTTATCTTTCTCCTCGCTTAATCTTTTTCATTTGCTTCTACACCTCCATGGCTGGTTTCCCTTAGGAGAAAATGAAAAAAAAAAAAAAAAATCTCTTCATGATATCCTTATTAATCTATATAATGGTGCCTTTTAGATAATATCATTTTTAGTTTTGTAAAAAATTATCATGAGAAGATTGTTTTGATCATTAACCTATACATTGCCTTTATGAGCTCATCAATGATATGATAAATGGAATTGTAGGCTCTTTAAGTTATTTATCCATTTAAAGTAATTTATATTAAAGATCCTTATTTATAATTTTTAATGTCAATTAAAGAAAATTTATTTTGATAATAATTCCAAAATTAAATAATTACACACAATGATATATAAAAATAATGTATGTCTATTTAATGTAATTAAAGGGTTAATGAAGTTATTTGGCAAGGAGGAACATTCAACATAATTTAATAAAATCCTTGAGAGGTTTTGCATTCTTCCCTTGTCAAAAGAATGTTGCCATCAAGATTATCTCACTACAGGAAAAACGTCATTTTCCGGCGGCAATATTCGTCGGAAAATGGCCAAAATCCGTCAAAAAATTGCATTTCCGACGGATTTCCGGCGGAAATATTTGCGCCGGTTCCACGCGCGTCGTAAAAGGACTTCCGGCGCAAAATAATTCGTCGGAAACTTTTCCGGCGCTTTTCCGACGGAATTTCCGCTGGTAAAAATTTCCGTCGAAATTTTTATGCGCCGGAATGAAAAAAAAAAAAAGAACAAATCACCCAGCTGCTGTCGCTACACAAAAGCCGGGACGCGGGACGCTGGAGGGTGCGCACTATGGGTGCGCTGCAGCTCGGGCACAGACTCACGCCGCGCATGCGCGGGGCAGCCTCGGGCTGGCGGCTGACTACGGGCAGCTTTGGTGGGAACGAGGGCAGCAGCGCGGGCAGGGTCGAGCAACTCCGCGGGTAACCGGGCAGGGGGCGGGTAGGGTCGGGCAGGTCCACGGGCAGCTGGGCAGACATTTTAAAAGAGTTTCCTGGTTGACCCGACAACCCGTCGGGTCAACCCGAACCTGACCCGTTTTTCAAACGGGTCAAATTTTGGAACTCGAAACCCGAATTTGGAGCTTTGTTGGTCGCGTAAGTTTGAGGAAGTTATATTGGAAGTTGATTCCTTGGTGATATAACGGTTCATGATCAATAAAAATAATATCTCTAGATTGAATATGCTTCTATTTATCTGGCTAGACAACTTATAGATCAATTACTAATGTGACTCCATCATATTTGAATTGATTGGTTAACTAATTAAGAATCAATATTAAAGAATTCTTAAAATAAAAAATTAAAGAATTCTAGGATTTTGTCTTGCCTAAAAAATGACATGGGGAGTTGATAGTCCTTACATATTGGATCTAAAATTCTTTATTACATAAAAGAGTAGGAGTTTGATATGGAAGACTAAATGGGTAAACATCAAGCTTTGTCAATAGATGATTGTAGTTATTTTCTTAGAGACCATTTGTGATCTCTTTATATTTTTGTTTTTGTTTTTGTTTTTATTTTTTAAAAAATATTTATGTTTTTTAGCCGATACTATCTTTTATTTTATTAAATAAAGCAAGTTGAAAAATACTTAGAATAACTTATACGTGTTCCTTTTTTTAAAGTAAAATGGCCCCTTAATTTATTTTTATTGGCTCTTTAAAATTATTGTAATGATTTTTTTTTAGTTGATAGAATTATTTTAAATGGGATGGCCTTAACCCCCATATTGATATTGATTTTGTTAAAAAAAAAAAAAATTGGCTCAGAATATCCTGATAATACTTTTTAATATCGCTAGCTTTTGGTGAGTTTGGCAGAAGGACGCGGGCTTGGCGGGTTCGACGACACTCGCATTGCTGGAAGCGAGCGCGGGCTCGGCGAGTTGGCAGCGACGATGGGCCACGCGGATGCGACCGCTGGCAGTGTGAGTGACAACATCGCGACGTGAGTAGACGGACATGACGGTGGGTAGCGCAAATGCTACCGTGGGCAGTGGGGTCAGCCTGGACGGGCATAGGCGGTCTCAGGTTAAACCGGGTTGAGTTCGGGTTGCCAGATCAACCCAAACCTGACTCGTTTTTTCAAATGGGTTGAATTTGGAACTTGAACCCGACCCGTTTGTGAAATAGGTTGACCATAACTAAAAATTTTCGTGTCGGATTCGAGTCTGATTTTCGGGTCGTGTCAAATATTGACACCCCTAGTTTTTATCATAATGCTTCTCCAAGCTTTGTAATAGATATGTGTCAATTAGTCTCCCCCTCTTTTCTCCTCATTTGTTAGAATAAAGAATATGGTTTTATACAGTCAGAAATTAATTTTGATTTTACACCATATAATTTCCCACAAATATAATTAAAAAATGATTGAAAAATGGCCAACTTTTGCTTGAAGATTTATTTTTCTTAGTTGAACATTATTTATTAGGGAATAGACATTTGTGTATTTGTTTAACAACTATTTTTAATTCTAAATATGAGAATTTTCAAAATGGAAAAAAAAAATTGTTAAGACATCCTAATATATTTTATAGCAAAATGGAGTTTATTTTACTATATATTTTATTGATTTTACATATCACATATTATTTTGCAAATATAAATATACAATTAAGTTATTAGACACTAAAAAGTAAATTTAGAAGATAAATATGATTAAATTATTATACAATATAATTATAATATTAGATATAAACAATTATAAGATTGATAAAAAATAATATTGAGGTTATATTCGAATGTAAATTTATGAAATTAAATTTAGAATCATTCTAGCTCTGATTTTAGCAAATTTAAAATTGAATTGAATGTTTTTATAAAAAGAAATGGTCGACACCACAAATGATCTGATCTGAGTCTGAATGAACCCAAATCAAACACTTGAAGCGTATTTGAAAACTTTTGAACATTAATTAGAGAACTAAACAGTCTCAAAATCCTATCTATTATAGTCAAAAAGAGCGACTCAATGCAACTATGATCATTAGAATATATCATCATTATGGTACTCAAATACTAAATAAATGATATATAATCAAGATTGCTAATGAAAGTCTAATGTTAGGCTTTGGGCCTAAATTGATAAAAAAAAATGATAGCCTAAGGTTTCAACTAACAAATTTTTGCTTGGCTTTCACTCAACATAGAAAAGATATAATAGGCTCTGGGATAACTAGTCTTAGGCTTCGTTTGGTACGGCTTTTTATTGCTTCTTAAAACAACTTTCTTGTACAAAAATTAAATGTTTTGTACAATAAAGCCGTTTTAAGAAGTAGTAAAAAAGATGTCCCAAACGAAGTCTAAGGCTTGACTTTGGGCCAAGGATAAGGAGGTTAGAATTGGCTAGGGGCCTTCTAGTATAAGGCTTAGCTTTGGGTGAACAATAGGCAGGTCATATTGATCTTTGAGCCAAGTGACGAAGGCTTTGACTTTGGTTCAAGGCAAAGGATACTATTCTAGTTAGTCAAGGGAGTCGGGCCTACTTATCAAATTGAAATGATAAAGGGGTCCTCTCAAGGGACAATGGTCCTAACTTAGGTAAGGGTGACCTAGATAAGACATGAGCCTTTAGCTCTAGTCTTCTAATGGGAGAAAGGCCTTAGCTAGTGCAATTCTAAGGCTAGGGTGTTCAAGTCAAGATTTGATCCCAAAAGTCTGCGAGCTAAAAATTGGATTTGAGCTAAGAGATCTTGAATTGTTAAAAGAGATGCTAATAGATATAAACTCCAATCTCTATCATTTCAAAATTTCTAAAAATAATAGTCAATGATTTGACCTTCATTTTTTTTTTGCATTTTTTTCATTATTTTTTATTTTCCTTCTTTTAAGTTTGAAGCATTCAAAGAAAGCCTTAGTCATTGGCCCTAGCATGTTGCATTTGTTTATAGTATATTTGGATGTTGAAGCAAGAGGTCAGCGATGCATTTTATAATAATATTAAATATTATTATTTCCTCCTTGATCTAAGTTAAATCAAACCAAATGGAACTCAAATTCAAACAAAACTTTAACTCCAAAATTTTTATATCTTAAAATTAATCAAGCTCAATAACTTAGAGCAACCTATCATCATCATCATCATCATCATCATCATCATCATTAGATAGTTTAAGAACAATACTAATCACATATCGAATGAGCTAAAAGCTATTTCCATGGCCGCCCAATTGCTCCAATTATTAAAGATTTTGCTCTCCTCAAACAAAACATAAATTCGAAGTCATATACTCTCAACCTATTCACTCAACATTAAAGAAAAAAGCCATGAAAAAGCTTCCTTTAATGGTCATGAAGATTTAAGATCCATTTCTCATCTAAAAACTTATTAACTATTTAAAACATTTCTAAATATGAAAGAGATTCTTCTCAAGTGAAAGATAGTTAGACCACTGGAAGCATATGATCTTTGATGAATAGATCTCAAAGCCACATCAATAACAAAGAGATCTTCATACCAAATGATTACATATTGTATACACATTGCGTTCAAACAGATATCGGTAAGACTCTTCAATTCTCATTAACAGTCCCTTCAACCTCCACCTGCTAATCATTCCAATTAAGAACATAGATAAACTAGTATTAGGGTTTGCTTAACAAAATATTAAAGACTAAGGGCTTGTTTGGGACAGCTTTTTTTTTCTTTGCTTTTTCAGATAAATATAATTTTGTTTGGCTATTACTTTCTAGATGCTTTTTAGAAATTTTTGTACTGGAAAACTACTTTTTACAACAACTTTAAAAATTTACCTTCCCATAACAGTTTTACAACCATTTTTATAAAAAGTTTTGATTATCCCAAACAAACTCTAAGATTCTCTTAAAAATAAAGAACAACTTACCCTAATTATCTTTGACAGTTGTGCAAGCTGGACGTCGAGGAGGAAGCTGATGATGAGGTGTTCTCTGCAATCATGCCCATCGGATTTAAAATCAGAAGATTTTCTCAAATTTAAATGATTTAAATGGTAGAAAATTTATTTGATTCAAATTTAATCTATATATTATTTATTTTAAAATATGTGTAATTCATGTTTAATAAAATTAAATTTATATTGCACTAATATCCAAATAAATTTAATCAATTACTTAGAAAAATTCATTAATTCAAATCAAATATGAATTTCATCTTTAATCATATACCATTATATATATTACTAATTAGAAGAATTTACATACATACTATAAAATTTGTATATATTTACATATCTAACTTCTAATTTTTAATATTTACTTATATAACATTTAAATATCTAAATTACATAAAAAATACTACCAACATCAATTTTTTTTAAAATAAAAAACATTTTTTCCATGCATATGCTATGTTGAGATTTAGATACTTAAAGAGTATTTAAGTAAATTTAAAGATTTAAATGTTAGATATATAAATATATAAAATTGATATATCAAATAAAGATTTTAGATCCATATTTAGATCAAAGAATATATATTATGCCAATTTAGAAATTATTGAATTTGTTGTGAGATTAGTATTATATTTAAAAATTTATATTGCACTAATCTCAAAGTACATGGATGATTTCAAGCCCATCCATACCTGCAGCTTGGGCCTTAGATTCTCCACAGTATCTCTAGTCTTCTGGCCCACACTCCCCCCTTGCTGTCATGAATACAATTAAACAAAGAAAAAATAATTTAAAATATTTTTATAAAGTGCCTAATTATATACTAATTACAAAAATGCTACAGTTATGAATAAAATTAGACAAAGATAAACCAATTTGGGATATTTTTATAAAAGTGCCTAATCATAATTTAATAACACAAATGTTATAGCTATGAAATATGTACCTTTCCAAGGGCCCAGTCAGCAGAGTCAAAGTAGGCCCTTTCATTATCCTGTAATTATATTAAATCATAAGCTAATTACAAAAATTAATTATGATTAAATGAACTAATTAGTGTTTAATTAATTACTGAACTAATCAAACAGCAGAGCTTACCTTTGAGATTAAGGGCTTCTTCTTTGGCATTATGCCTCCATATTTTTTCTCCAATGATACCTGAAATTTTAAGATATTTTAGGAAATTATTCCTTAATAAATTTATTATGTTAAATAAAAATAATTATGTCACAATATTTTAATATAATATATATATACATATAAATTGTAAAAAATTATTAAATTCATTTTAAAATTAGTATTATATATGAAGAATTTATATTGCGCTAATTTTAAAGTATATACAAATTATGATATTTTTCTTTAAATTAGGATTAAATAGTTTTAATTTTTATATAAAGTTTGGATTATAAGGTGGCTTATAGTATTTGGCCGGCAATTTAGTCAAAGGCTTCCTTAGGGTTGTTGAAATTAGGGTTTTAAAATTGTTATGCCTTTGAGAAATTTGTCTTTTTTTTTTTTTTAAGTGTGTCAATAAATGATCAAATTCGACAATTCGATTTAAACTCAAATAAAAAATTAGAATTTAGGTCGATCTGATAAATCTTGTTAGCAGGTTTAAGGCTTCGTTTGGAGCGGCTTTTTTGTTATTTTCTGAAACAGCTTTTTAGTACAAATTTTTAGATCGAAAAATTTGTGAACTAAAAACTCGTCCCAAACAAAGCCTAAGTTGATTTGAAACTTGAAATTGTCCTGATTATTATTCGGGCTGGTTTCAACGTGTCGTGTTCGGGTTAAACAAGATATTATTAGGTTAAATGAGTCATATTGATCTAAAAAATTACACAACCTAACTGATAAGTCTGTCAAATAGGTCGGTTTGAGTTAATCAAAATTGGGTCAAATATTTTGACCTATATGATAAAAGGGTCAGGTTATGATCAAATACATTGGATTATGATAACTTAAGATTGGAGCTGAACTCGAGCCATCAATTCGGATTGACGCCCTAACTTTATATGTTTCATAATAGCGTAATTGAGAAAATAAAAGATAAATAATGAGAATATTTCTTAAAAAAAAAAAAAGAAATTGAAAAGTCAACGTTTACAAAAAATTTTCGTTGCAATAGTTTTTAGGGAAAAATTTGTGTAAATGGCCTTAAAACGACTTGCTTTGAGATTAGAGTTGTAAATAAAGAATTTATAAATCACTAATCTAAAAATAAATCCAATAATTTTTAAGCTCATTTTAATATAATTTATATTCGGACAGCCATATGTAATTTTTGTTACATGACCCCAAAATAATTATATATTTATATAATAGATAAATATTATTTACAGATATTAAAATTAAATAAATAAATAATATTATTATAATAAAAATTAATTTGACCGGAAATAAAAATCATAATAATTTATTAATGTTTTTTTATATCTGTCAATTATTATTATTATTAATATTAATTATTTTTCAAAGAAAATGACTAATATTTTATTTTTATTACTTTTTATAAAAAATTTGATTAATAACCAATTTGAACAGTCAAAGCCAGCCTAAATAGACGGAGACTAACAAGTTTGAATTGAATACTATTAAATTATGCAATTTTAATTTTAATTACTTTCTAATAATAATTACAATAATATATTAATATTACATATTAATTATTACCATAAAATGTTTTATTTTTTAGGTAATTACATAATCATCCACTAAATTTGCATCTAATATAGAAAGAATTACCAAAAGAACAAAAATGAAAGTTTGAGATTTGCAAAATAATTTTTAATTTAAATAAGCAAATTAATGATGAATTTAAAAACTCTGATTTACTTCAAGATTAGTGTTATATAAAAGAGTTTAACATGCACTAATCTCATTATAACAAAAAATATACATTTTTTTACAATATTAACCGAATATAGTTTCTAAAAGGTTCTTCAAAGCTAGTGACTAATTATCAATTGTTGAAGGACTTAAGAGAAAATAGAATTATTCCAATAGAGGATCATTCAGCTAAACAAATCAAAGAAGAAGCTCTGTTTTTTTTTTTAACAAACAGAGAAAAACAGAGAGAAACAGAGTAATATCTAAAGCCATAAATCAAATAAAAACAGAGATTTTAAGGATTGGGATTTTTCTGACCTGCTCTGTTTGAGAAGCAAAGTCCTCTCCCTTGTGGCCTGCCATCTCCAATCCTTCTCTTCCTACAATTACTAAAACTGTTTAGGCACCAATTCCAACTAAGGCAGAGAGAGAGAGAGAGAGAGAGAGACCTTTGGGATTTTAGAGAGAGGGGAAGGAGGAGGAAGGATGGAATGGGGAGGGAGAGGAAGAGAGGGAGGGAGATATATTGTGTTGAGGGAAAGGGAGGAAGCCAAAGAATAGGAGGTTGAGTGTGGTGAGATAAATGAGAATATATTTAAGAAAGCATGAGAAGGGTGAGGGGGCTTGTGACTTAGAGATAGAGAGAGAGAGAGAGTTATAGAGATAGAGAGAGAGAAAAAATAAGAGAAGTGTGCAAGTTGGTTTGGGCTATGGTGGTTAGCCCATGCGAGTTGAATTATGCAGCCGACACTCCTCTTCTTCATCCTCCTAACTTTTCTCTTGTCCTTTACCCCCTTGGGCACTTCTATTTTGGATCATCCTTCTCGATCCTTATTCCCCTTTACATCGAATCCTCTCTCTCTCTCTCTCTCTCTCTCTCTCTCTCTCTCTTTCTTAATTTTGTTTTGTTTTGTTTTTACAAATTGGCATTTAAGTTGTGAAGGATTAGTTAGTTTTCATGTTATTCACATTAATTTGATGAGATCCGAATCAATCGATTTAGGTTTCGTTTGAGACAGCTTTCTTATGATTCTTAAGACAGTTATTTAGTATAAAATTAAATTTTGTGTACTAAAAAGCTGTTTTAAGAAACATTAAAAAAGTCATCGTATAGAAAGCCTTAATCTATTATTAAAATATTTTTTTACAAAAGTTATCGTTATAATAAATTTGAAAAATATTTATATCATAAATTTTAAAAAATCAGGTGATTTATATAACAATAATATAATAAAATCAAAGTTTTATCCTACTATATGAGATCAGCAATATAAAACTTTTTTCTTCATTGTATCTTTTTAAGAGTTAAAATTCTCATTTAAATCTAATAAAGATCATTTATAATACATTTTAACCAAGTTTTTTCATGTCTATCTCTATCTTTTTAATATAAGAGATATCTCATTAAAAAAATGGTAATTTATTTAAATTCTAATTTTTAAATAAAAATTTTTAGTTTTTTAAAATACGTGATAGCATTTTAAAGCAATTTTCATGTGCTTTACCACGATTATTTCATTATAAAATATATTAAATTATTCAAATAAAAGGAAAATCAATTAATTTATTTTTAATATTTTTTTTATTTAGAGAATATAGCTTTTATATCCAAATAAAATGAAATTCCATTTAATTTTTTTTAATTAATTTTATTTGGAGAATAAATCTTTATCTTTATCTTTAACCTTTTTGTCATCAAAATATTCTTTTTTTTATCTTCAAGATATTATTTATTTTTTCCTTTTTCTTAGAATTGTACATTTGATTGGCTATGACAAAGCATCAAATTGACATCCATGAAATATTTTAGATTGGGTCAATTGACTCAAAAGATCTCACCATTTTCTTTCCTTTTGGCAAAGCTTAATGGGATATTCCAATTTTATTAAAAAATAATAATTAAATTAGAAATAAAAAATGAGAACTTGGTGAGATAAATCTTATTTAGGCCATTTTCATTGAATGAATTAGCTAATGGTGAAGCAATTTTAGGGTTGTAGAAAACTAAGGGAAGTTTTGGAATTATATATATATTTTTATTTTATTTCATTTAAATTTATTTGAAATCTTAAAATATATGTTATTTGTATTTATTTATGCAATAGTGCCATAGTGGCATCAGTCATAGGTTTTTTTTTTAATATTATTTTATTATTTTATTATTTTTTTTATTTTTTTTGGCAACAGTCATAGATGGGGCAACAACAACAGCTGATAAGATGATCACAACGACATTGGTTGTGGTTTGTGGTGGAAAATGGGGCAATGATAGTGGTGATGGCTATAATGGCTGATGAGGCAATGGTGACAATGGTAGAGGTGTTAGTAGCTTCCAACAAAGATGATGACAGTGGTTGTTGGTGGTGGCTAATGACAATAGTGATGACATATATATATAAAGGAGCTATATATATCATTTAATATTTAAAATTCTTAAATTTTTTTGGTGTTTTTTAATAATTTGATTTTTTTAATAAAATTTTTTTTTTTATAAAAACACGCTAAACTATTACATTTAAAAAGGTGATAAAATAAAATTGATTGCTTATACAGCTCCTTTTTTTTTTTTTGCCAATTTTTATATGTTAAATAATGAACAACTTGTTCCAATACAACATGGATTAAACTAAATCCATCTAGAGAAGGGTGGATTAAGCATTAATCATTTTTTTATAATAAGATTAACATACCTAACAAACCAAAGATGTTGAATAAGACTCTTAATCCATGATTAGTTTAATTAATGAAAAACCTAATGACCTCTTTGGGATTGCACATTCCATTTGTACTCGTTGCATCTAGGATTATTCGTGGCGGTAGAGAAATATAAAGTTTCGCATCTTAGCGTTGTACGAAAATCCAGCACGCAATCAGATAAGAGAGAAAGTGTATCATACATATGAGAGACACCAAGATTTTTACGTGAAAAAACTCCTAAAAAGGGGGAAAAACCATAGGGCCTAGCTCAGTTTGAATGAATCCACTAGTATGGGAGCTTTAAGTCAAAAGTACCATAGTCGGTGGGCGATGGAAGTCAAAAGGATTATAGTAGATGGGCGACGTAAGTCAGAAGGACCGTTAGGTATAAGTCTAGGAATGGATAGAAATTCAACATCGAATATATATCTGGCGAAAACCCAACAACGGGCATAAGTCCAATGTTGAGTAGAAATCTGCAAAGAATGGAGGTCCGACGTTGAGTAGAAGTCCGACATCAGTGGGTGGCCGAGGAGAACTCTGACGTTAGATGGTATTCGGGCAGAATTTCGTCGTCACTTGGAGTTCGGGTGAACCTCCGACGTCACTTGGAAGTCAGGCGGAATTCCAGTGTCACTTGGAATTTGGGCAGAATTCCAGGATCACTTGGAAGTTGGGCGGAATTCTGGCATCACTTAGAAGTCGGGCAATATTCTGACATCTCACGAAAATCTGGAAGAATTCCAGCGTCCCGTGGAAGTCGGGCATAATCCCGGCTGTGGTCGAGGAGGAGTTTCTTCCCTCATACTCTTCTCTTCTTCTTCTTCTTCTCTTCTTCCTCTTCCTTGGACCACCTCTCAAAAGAAATGAGGGGTCTATTTATAGATTTATGGAGTGGCATGGCCCGTAAATAGATGAGAGATTTGGGACAAATGTGGAGTAGTTCGGATGGACGGTTGATATTGAATCCTTTAATTATGGACCGTTTATCAAACATTTGAAGGTCTTAACGATATTGAAATTTGGTGATCTTGGGCTCATTGGATTCATCTCGTTGAGCCGCTCGATTCGATTACAAGCATGTCATGTTTGGAAACCGTTTGGTAATCCAAATTGTGGTTCGAACCTTCCAAAAACGCTTCAGGTCCTTGATTTGGACCCATTTGGGCTCGGATCGAGTTGAATTTGGTGTTGTTGGCTTTGTATTTTCAAGACGCTCAGTTTGACTATAAGTTTGCTGAAATCAGATTTTAGATGATCCCGAATTTAATTTTTGAAGTTTCCCGATTGATTTTGCCTCGAGATTGGTGCCCGATCAATTTAATTTTTTTGATGACATATCAGTACTCATCCTAGATCATTATCTCATTTTCCATTTAGCAAATTTTCCATGTAGAAGTTTCTAGAAGTTTAGAATTCTTAAAAAAAAATATAAATGTGGTGGAGCTTCTTGCAAAGAAGCCAAGATTAGGTCTTAATGTGCATGATTAGGTGACCAAGTTGTAAAACAAGTGTTGAGTTCTTGAAATTAATTGATATAAGGGCTAATGCTTACATGTTGGGGTAATAATATTACTTGAAATGATTTACTTTTAATTCTGAATTTATTACATTGATTACACATAAATATCTTAATCTTTATTAATTTATCATATATTTTATAATAAATATTTTTATTAATTTTAAATTTAATACAAAACAATCACATAATTTTAATATAATAGAATAACATAATATGGACCAATTCTTATCAAAGAAAAGAAAAAATGTGTAAGATATGCCATAGCTTTTTAATTAGAAAATTTTAAAATTATAATATGTATCACCAATATATTTTAAAAAGTTTAATTATATGAATATATTTATTAATATTTAGAATATAATGAAAAACCAATAATTATGGGAAAAAATATTTCTAAATTTAAATATTTCATCTTAAAAAAATATAAAATTTGAATTATTAAATAGTACTTATTATAATATAAAAAATGATGTCAAGATATTTTGACAAAGTTTTTCATAATCAAAGGTGGTCCCCTCCTTGGCTCCATCATTAAAAGGCCACATAATAAAAGGAGGTGAGGCCAAGTAGATAGCCAATGATCATAAATTTTGATGAATTGACAAGCCAACGGCCAAATGGCTTTTCATTTCTGACCAAGGATGAGAGAGAAGATAGCAAGAGCAATGATTATGCAAAGCATTGAAATCAAAATAATAATAATAATAATGTTATTAGTGGTGGGAGGTCTATCTTGAAAGTGATTAGTTGGATGTTAATGTAAATTTATGATTAATTGGGTTTTTTTAATCAAATTGGAATGGTTATGAACCTCAAATTTGTTATAGATTTGAAGTCATTCAAGAATTTGAAGTTGTCTCGTGCTTAAACTCATCAGAGAAGTTGAACTCATATTAGATTTGAAGTCGTTAAAGGCCTTGTTGAATTTATCTGGTGGTGAAGCCCGACTTCACTAGCATGCAAACCCGGTGAGTTAGAGCCTATAAGTCATAATGGAGAGTGTAGAGAGAATTGAGAAATAAGAGAAATAGAACTATTAATCTCAAACTAGCAGAGTATCCATTATCTAAGAGAATTCAAAATCTCTCCAAAATATAGAAAGCATGCCCCAAACTATTCCTCATTAACCCTTATTTTTAGGGTTCAAAGGGCTACAGGAAAGATTATGCAGAGAAAAGTATAAAAATATTAGCTATACAGAATACTCATACAATGTTACATGCAAATCTAAACATGTGTCACCTCCTGATAGGTTTGTAGATTTAAAAAATATTAGCAAAGTTTGTTATATAGTTAGTGACTTATGAACAATGAGAATTATCCGAGGAACTCATACTCAAGCATAGCGTTTGGAAGTCATGTCATTTTGAGTTAGAAAGTATAATTCAAATAGGTTTTTGAGGGAGTTGAG